TTTCGAATCCACTTTCAACTTTCCTTTCTTCTCCTATTCTTCATCCCAATGGGCAGCCAAAAGACAGCAACCAAAACCGGAGCACGAAAGCGCATGGTTAATGGTTGTTCAAACTGAAATGAACTTTAGTAAATCAGTGATCAGCGCGAAAATACAAATTTCACCGAGTAAATTGCGAAATCACACCCCTGTAGGTTCGAGTTTTAGTCGTCGCAAGCTTGACAGAAGCGTACGGGTGACATTTCAGAACAGGAAAAAAAAACGGCTGCATAGCAAATTCAAGGAGCTTTAGGATAACCCCGAATGTTATATTACTTTTCTGTAATTCGACCTTCTTTCTCCACTAAGATGAAATAACCTTGACAAAATTATTTTAACAAACGGAAACTATCGTCAGATTACATCAAATGACACCAAATAATCCGTGGTGCTCCTATATAGTGATACCAAAAGATTGAATTTTATCTGAAGATTGTTTTTCTGAAAAACGTCAAAGAACAAAGATTCAGACGAGAAAAATGCAAGATCCTTGAGTCATCGAGATCTTTGAATCTCATACCGTAGAGGTAAGACTAAATTTCAAGTTTATGGGGTTTTGCTTAATACCTGAAGCGAAAATTGATCTAGTAAGTATTACTCGAATGGTATTTTCCGGGGCACGGGAGTTTGACAGGCAGACCTTACAGCATTCGCCCCACTAACCTCTATCCTGGGCTATATCTCTCAGCATCTCTAACCAACGACAATTCCTATCCCTTGGGCCCCAAAGTGGAAGGTTGGCTGCACCAACCAAAGTCAAAGCTGAAGCCAGCTTCTTCAAACCTCTAGGCCACGTCATGGTTTGACCACCGCGCCGCTTCTTCCAGCCTTGCTCGGCATGTGCAAAAAGAGCACGGAAAGGTGGTTGATGGGCAGGCATACGCAAAACGTGACCGCGCCATCCGAGCCGGTGTATAGTGATTACTTCCGTTAGAGAACGACTATTCGCACCCAACACACCTCGTCATTACTCAACCGGTGTTCCCATCAAACATGAACAATGCTTCGGAGACATCGGTGGTCGAATACAGAAAGCCGATTAGAATCCTCAACGCGGAGGAGCCAGGCCTCGCAACGGTAAAGGAGAACGCTACGAACCGCGGCGATGTACACCCTTCCTTTAAGGGGCAGTCGTACTTCATGGCGGCCCCACAGGTGTCGCAGGTTGGTGAGAGCTGCTCTAGCTTTCGTTATTCGTGATGTGATCTCCTCCCCAACACCCCCAAAGCTGAGATCAAGCTACGGAGGTATTAAAGGCTGTCAACTACTTCTAGTTCATCACCACAGAGAATGAGTGCAGGGACAGGTTCGTGCCAGTCTTGAACACGCACTTTGCACTTAAAATGTACAAAGTATATCCCATACATCGATCGCCATTTCCCCGTATTTAACTGTTTCTCTATCTTTTCACTTTTTTCTGTATCCCAATCCACCTGCCCCCCATTTTTGTTTTTGTTATTATTGTTGTGGCGTTGGCACCATGCTTGTCTATAAGCCGGTGTTAAGTATATATATCTATATTTCAAGAGAGAATGGAGGCGTACACTGAGTTGGAATACATATATATATATATGTATACGTATGTTATCAATATCTTCATTTCAACGGTAGTTTTGCTTCTTGGAATTATAGATCACGAAGCTGTTTTGCTTTAGATCTTACTTTGCAACCAAGAATCTCTATCCATCAAGTGACGCTTAAATCACAAATAATGCCTAATCTAAAATACGCGGTTAATAAAAGCTATATATTGCAGAAAGCCTTTATACTAAAGGAAGGTTCAGAGCTAACAAATGTGGCAGAATGTTTGACGATGAACTCCTACTGTAAACATACACAACAGATCAAAGCGATTGAGATAATTAAGACAAATTCTTAACAGTTCACTTATCACGTTTCTGTTTCATCAATTACTTTAAGATTTTTATTTCCTCCTGCTATTCCAATGTATCACAAAATATCAGTCGGCTTCATTATGTTCAGGCTTCAGTTTCCGGTTTCTGATCGGTAAGAACGATTACGCAAAATCTCATGAAAGAAATAATCAATCGGTTTCACTCCGGATTTCTTTTTTTACAAATTTTACGGGTGTATTCACCTCACCTGAAGCACTAGCTCATATAATTAGAAATTGTAATCGCTCAGTTAGATATTGAACGCGTTGTCCTTAGTATCTCGTCCGACAATAAAGTAACACAAAAAATATCGAAGGATGCACGGTGAAACAAACAAACAAGGGTTAGTCTTGTTAACCATCATAATTGTTTATCTCACCCCACTGTTTTGTATCTCAACCCCTTTCATTCTCTTTTATTCCTCATATTGTGTCGGCACGATATCCGATCGCAAGACGGTGATAAATACACACATACATCTTCGTGCGAGGATAGTGGTATTGAGTTGCTTCTGGGTGGTAGACTGTCTGATTTGAAGTATTCAGCCGACAGTGTACTGCTAAGTGAAGAGCCAGGTAAATTGCAAGTCTTTCTGGATAGTTTGAGTGTTAGTCTCGCTATGTTTGTCATGCGTTTCGCACCTTCCAATTGTAAAATGTTGCTGCATGGCTGGATTAGTCCAGCACCCAAACTCACTCTAACTGAGGAAGTAACAGAACAAGTGGATAAGTTTGGTTACTTTGGTGGTGGACGCAGCACGGATGAATTGTCGGCAGGCATATAGAAGGCTCGATTAGAATTAACCAACTCTTGACTTTTATGACGCCATCGCGACATCTGGTCGTCGTGAAGGGTTGAGTGAATGCTGCGGAAGTTCGGCCAGTTCTGCTATACAGCGCAGAAACCAGGCCTTTACGTAAACAGGATAAAGGTAGACTGTCAATATTCGAACGTCGCTATCTATGCAGCATTGCATGAATCTGGTGGGGTAACCGGATGAGCAATGCTGAAGTTAGGCACAGAGTCTTACGTAACCACGGTGGACTTTTAAGGGCATCACATCCAACGTTGGAATGGATGTCTTTGAAGAAATTGTGCGTTGTGCTCATAGAATTAGATCCGTATAGGAATGTTTGGATTAGCCACAACGAGAGAAAACCAAAAACAACAATTTTCGGTTGACTAACCCAAAATTGTTGTTTTTGGTTTTCTCTCGTTGTGGCTAATCCAAACATTCCTATACGGATCTAAAACCATGGTAGACCACTGGAGCATGTCTCTAAATAGGTTGCCACGGCGCGTGATGTTTCCGAGACAGGTAGTGGGTGGAAAAATCCGAGGGTGGTCAAATAAAAAACCTGGCACGAGGGTATGAAGACCCTAACCCAGAAATTTTTTTCATATAGTCACGTGAGGCTCCCTGGACGGGAACCTCGAGATAGTGACAACCGACGGTTAGAGACACTGAGTGATATGGCTGAGCTTCGTAAACAGTGGCACTCGTGCACCTTCTCAATTTCTCTGCAACCGTAGTCCACTGAAATCCTCCATTCTCTCTTCGACTCTACTTTCAACTTCCAAAGAGACTTTTCTCAAAAACGGAGGGCAAAAGGTTTGTTCCAACGGTCTCATACATCGTAT